GCATATTATGCAAACACACTAATTTTGAGAGCACTTAACCTTAGTTTAAGGGGGGGAGCAGGGCTGAATCTTAACGAGCTGAGCCTCGGGGTGTTTAATGAAAAGCTGTCTTTTGAATGTGATCTAGAGTTTTAAACCTTTGTTAGGAGACATTTGGAGAGCAGGTTTATTTGCCCTGGGAGCGCATCCTGTTTGAACACACACAAATTTCATCAAATGCCTGAATATCCACGATTTTAGGCTGAGTTTTCACTTACGTTAAAATCAGTATTGCCAAAAATATTTTAAAAAATGAAAAAGGGGAAAAAAAAAAAAAAAAGTGGGCTACTCCTAGAATTTCTCTCAAATGACCCAGATCTTTAGAGTGAAGTTTTTCTTTGCCTAGAAACTAAGTGGCTTTTCTTTGGCTCATTCAGCTGCTAGTTCTGGGAAAAGCCCAAAGAGAAACATTTAGATTGGAGGGGTCTTTGAGAAGATGTGACAGTTGACTGATGAGCATCCATAAAATGACAAAGAATAGTTGTGTGGAGCCGGTGCATCACATCGCCTCTCCCTGGGAAACTAATTGCTCTGAATTGTTAATAGTAACATTATTTTTCTGGCAATCATTTCTTTTGAATACCCAAAATGAGCATGAAACAGCTCCTTTGACCGGACATAAAAGTTAAATGTCCCAATGTTGATCAAATTAACTTCAGCTATGTGACAATGGACTATATTTGTGAGAAAATAATGAAGGGTACAAAGGGGAGCTTTATGCCAAGATTTCACAGTTGTAATGTAAAAATGTTTCTGTTGAACTAGGCCAGGGAATGTTTCAATAGGGAAACAGAAGAGCACTGTCACTTTCTTTCTTTTTTTCTTTCTTTTTTTTTTTTAAACATTCATTTTATAGCTCTGAATGCTCCAGATAATTTTGGGAAGTTTCCCTGGTTGGCACACTGAGAACCACAGTACCAGGCTAATTAATATCTCTCATGCCTGTTCCTAGCAGACACTTCTCTAATACTTTAAAGGACCCTATCCTGTCGTCTCTGCTCAAACCCTAGCCACGGCATTAACTGCAGGAAACACTTTTCCCCAGCAAGGGCCTAACAGACCTGACTGATGTGCTGATATGATTAATTAATAAGACACATACACAAGTATTAATTACAGCAAAGCACTTCCAGCTGTGTTTCCTTTCCTAATTTCATACATGACTTAAACCCTGCAAGTTTAGAAAACGCAAAGACAGAAGTGGGATGCAAACACAGCTGTGTGTACATGCGAGTTAACCAAAATGGGCTTGGAAGAAATCTTTTGTCCCACAGAATATAATCACATATTCTTATTCTGACTTATTAAACATCTTTAGTTTTGACTGTATTTGCATCTATCTGGAAAAAGGTAGGTGACATCCAGGAATTTAGCTTTGCATTTGCATTAGTGTTAAACACTGTCAGCACTCTAATCTCTATAAAGTTTATATATATTTGTAAATATATAAACAAATATTTACTTAAAAGTAGTGTAATTCTAGCTGTCTTAATCTTCAAAGAGTCTGCATAATACCACATTTTCTTCACAGTTCCTAAATGACAAATGTTAAAAGCAATCTGGCTCTGCGCATATCACTATCTGTCTTGAAAAGCATTTTCTTGAGTATATTATTCATTCTTGTATTTTATTATAACTAAATGACTTCACGATGCCATTATAAGATTAAACCTCTGTGCTCCCCGAATATCTATGATTATTACTACAATCCTCTAGAAAAAAACTTTTAAAGGTAACTTTAAATCATTCGCTTGACAGTTTTTCCCTTTCTTTTCTTTCTTTTAATGCTCCTCCAACCCTTTTCTCAGTCATTTGGAGAATTTGAGAAGCTTCATGCCCACGCATCAAAACAACCTTGGAATACCACAATTTTGGCAAATCAGTTTCTCTGATGAATTCAATAGCGGAGTTTATTTCTTTGAGCTTTACTTGTAAACACTCTGCTACTTTGTACTTCAAACTCCTGGGATGGGTTTCCCCTCACATGAAAAGGCTGCACTTAATACATGTTTATGAAGATGCAGAGTGACCAGGTCGCTCACTCCCGCAGTGACCTAAATCAACTGTGAGAAGGTGTTTGGGCTTCATTCGGTCAGGGTTTAGCTCATTAAACTGTTTTCCTTCTCTGCATTGTTCGCAGAGTTTGAACTGCACCCCTGTTAAATGCTCTTTAGCAGTTTAAAGGCTTTAAAGGAAAAGACTTATCAGCCTCTGTTTTTAACAGTACTAAATCTGCATTATTAGTTCATGCAGATAAGGGGATTTAAAAGCTCAGCTTGAAACCTCCCTCTCCTACATTTATCTGACACTGCATAGTTCCAGTAGCTCAGCTGGAAATGTAGATCTATGAAGCTTTAAAGAGAGATTAAAGCCAAGAAAAGAGGTACTTTTCCCCCTATAGCAGCTCTCACTTTCCCTTTTCCTACTGTCTGGAGGAGCCATGGCAGACAATGGTCAAAGATGGTTCCCAAAACCCGCTGAATGGGGACACTGTTGGTGGCAGCATTCATTCAAAGTGAGCTTCAGTGTATTGTCCTCCCCAATCAGCAGGTCCCAATAGAGTTTGCTGGTGGCTGCCAAAAGGTTAGCAGCGCCCATGAAAGGGGTTTCCCATTATTCACTGCTCCTACAGAAGTGCCCTTTTGTGCGCGGAGCCCCTCGCCTCGCTACGGAGGTCCGGATCTGCGGCTGGCTGCGCGCTCAAAATGCCCATTCGTGTGAATGCAAACGCAGCGCCGCAGCGCAGCCCCAACCCCAGCACAGGGGAGCCGCGCAGGTTTTGGCAGTGTCACGTTTTAATGATATACCATCCTGACATCTCTGACCCACAGCTGACACGAATACTACAGTCTTATTACCTTACCCTGGCCGGGCGTCGTGGGAGGTCCGGGGCCAAAATTAGCTAATGAAGCACCCTGCACGCTGTAAACAAGCGTGTAATAAATAATGCAGGAGGCTCGCGCAGGTTTGCCGAAGGTCCCGAATGAAAAGCACAGGGAAAGGAGAGGAGACCAGCAGAGCAAAGCAAAAACAAAATACAGGCAGACCCTTCCTGCATGTAATGGGACACACAGATCTGATTAAAACTGTGCCAAGAGTGGATCCAGATTCCAACACTCTGTGCGCTAAAGACAGGGACTTTTATAAACCACTGCAATATAAACCTAATTACCATGCTTCCTCGTGCCACAGCATTCTCCAGTGCTCTGAACAGCTTTTAAAAGGGAAACACGAGAAAACATACTGCTTTTTTGCTCTTCATCCATGTATCATTCCCCAAAATTAAAAAAAAAAAAAAAAAAAAAAAAAAAGGCCTATTTTGGGGAAGTTCCTTGCTAGCCCTCTGCTGGGGTGTGCAGGAAAAGCACTTGCTTATACAGAGCAAGAAAAGCAGCATCTTTAGCTAAAACAGCTACCCCTCTCTGACTGATAGAGAACGTGCAGGAAGCAAATGGCACCCAGGTGCCTGCTGCGGGCGGCGCGAGGCACGGGGGCGCTCTGCGAGGCTGCCCGCGCGGCGGCACCGCTCGGGCCATGGCCGCTCTGCTGCCCCTGCAGCACCAGGAGTTCCAGCTCCACCGCTAACACGCACCGCAGCACGGCGGGGGATGCGAGCCCGAGCGCGTGGAGCAGAGCAGGGTCCACGGCCAGGGCAAGGAGGCCGTGGCAGGCGTGGGGACGCAAGACGTCCCGGGACGCCACAGAACATGCAGGCTGTTCACAGAGCGCGAGGATCCAGGTGAAAGGCAGCAAGCAAAACTGCAGGTAAGCCGCGGGGTTTTGTTTTTCCAAGCCATGCAATTTGTTTCCAGGACCATCTCATTCACAAGTGCAGGTGCACTTCATGGCTTCTTCAAAGAGACTCTAAAGGTCTGTTTCTCAGGCAAAAAGAAATCAGGAAACACCTCCTCACAGTGAATCTTTACATTTCAAGGTATTATAACCAGATACTTCCATGTTTACTTTACAAAATATTCCCAGGCAAAAGTGTTTTCTTGTTCCAGGATAAGCTGTCTTTTCTTCTGACTTCACAACTGCTAATTAGGCCAGCAGCAAAGCACAGCTATTTGGGGCCTGCTGGACATGGTAAGCTTTGTACTGTGCCACACACCACATGAATCCACCCTGTAACTCTGCTATGGACCGTGGTGGTATTAATAACAGCGATGCCTGCATACAAACGCTGTGTCGTTGCTCTAAAAGATTAGCTGCCGGGTGCTCTCAGCCCACACTGAGACCGAAACACCACAGGCTTTAATGTGCAGGGGCTGCCGCTCATGACTTACGGACAGGCCACAGAGGTGCATTTATTCAGTCTGCAGCAACGACGAAGGCAGGATTTTACTGCTGCCTTTGTGCAATGGTGGCTGTGGAGGGCACGGAGCCAGGCTCCAAACAGTGCAAGACAAGGAGCAATGGACATGAGCTGCATGGAGAGGAATTCCAATTGGATTTTAAGAGAAAAATGTTCACAAAGAGGGTGATCAAACATGGGCATGAGCTGTTCTTGGAGCTGTTTGCTGCTTGGATGGAAGTGGCCTTGAGCAACCTGTTGAAGTCTAAGCAGGGGGGTGGATGCAAGACCTTCAGAGGTCTCTTCCAAGTCAAATTACTGTATTCTATTCTATTACAACATGCTTGAATTTCAGATTTTTTTTTTTTACTTCATGCAGACCAACATGTTAGCTAGTGTATTTTGAGACACACTTCCTTTCTATTGAACAAGTTTTGATGACTTCAGAGAGGTTCTACTGCTCATCAATTTCTCTCAGAAGAAGTGTCACACACGGCTCTGCAATTGGCACCACCCAGACAACCCTATGCACACTATGTTGTGCATGACCATTTTCAGATCACAGAACAAACGTCTCTGCATTTTTAAGCATGCCTTTTGGAACATCTTTCATAAGTTGCTTAGGAACACAGAAGAACAAGAGAGGCTAAGAAGGGCTAATACATACCTATCAAGTACATAGCCAAGAGCCTTATGCCGTATTCCTGAGTAAACCGATGGGCTTGTTTCCCAAGCAATTAAATTGGAAGCATCATGGAAAAGGTGAATGTTTACCAAGTCAAAGGCACTATGACAAAAAAGGGAAAAAAAACACTCAGGATAAAGAAAAAAAACATATTTTTTTGCAATTAGTAAAGCATTCAACATGATAACACTTAATATAGTCTCTCTTACATTACCTTAATATTTACTCACATATATTGTGCAAATAAAGCTACCATCATCAGAAAATTATCATAGAATACCATCAAACTCATATTAATGGATCCACAGGTAGGGAGGCACCTCCTAGGCTTCTGCTTAGAAATATCTGCTATAGGAAAATGAAAGGCTTTCTATCAGCCACATTTCAAAGACAGAAAGCAGTATCCTCTCACTGAAATGTTTTAAAACACCAGACTTGAATGTGTAACGAAACAGCTTTTTCTTTCTTTTGTACAGGGCTGTGCTATTCACATTCAAAGATGTTGAATTCAGAGGGACATGGACATGTCAAAGAGCTGGGCAGAGAGGAACCTCATGAGGTTCAACAAGGACAAGCGCAGGGTCCTGCACCTGGGGAGGAATAACCCCAGGCAGCAGCACAGTCCAGGGGTTGACCTGCTGGAGAGCAGCGCCGCAGAGAGGGACCTGGGAGTCCTGGGGGACGCCAAGTTAACCATGAGGCAGCAGTGCCCTCGTGGCCAACGAGGCCATTTTTAACAGGTCCTCAGAACATTGATGGTGACTAAACTGCAGGGAATATTTCCCAGTCATTTTCAAAACTTTAAACTCTGGAAAATGATGAACAAATACAAATTACATACCAGCACGGAGATAACTCTATCCTAAAGGATTCCTCTGTTATGAGAAATTAGGCTACTTAAAACAGTTCATTCTCACACTTAAAAAAAACACAGGGAATAAATGGTTGTGGCTGATCAAAGGTAGCCAGCAGCTACGTGATAGAAAAGGCTACAGGAAGGGTGAAGGCATGATGAGCAGCTCTAGTAAAAGTCCTTCCCGACACTTGGAGGCAGGTTGGGGTTCAAGCTCCCGAGCAGGGTACTGCCAGCCCTGTCTGCAGTGCCGCTGGCCTTCGGACAGGGACCTCTGCCAGCTTCCCAGCACGGGCAGCCTGGAGATGCCCTCACCTCCTGCCTGAGGGCCCTTCAACCACTGCGGGTGGCCACACAAGTGCTATTTAGTTAAGCTCAGCTCGTTTTGTGGATAGACCGGTTTGAGGCAGCTCAAGCCTCCAGAGCATGCACATGAATTTTGCAGACAGCTCCAAAATCAAACATCCTTTAGCTGCGAGACAGCTACATGTGCAGGTAATGCCAGACACAGCAATGAAAGACACGGTCTCATGGTCTCACTTTTCTGCCTCACCTTCCCCATCGCTGATGGACCCCCACGGGGTGAAGCTCAGAGTCCTCGGTGGACGCCAAGTCCTTCATTCATACGGCTGGGGAACACACTGGGGAACAGTGTTCAGGTCCCCGTGCAAGGTGATACACAGCACAGCCCCACCATGCGACTAAATCACCTTGCCCAGGACTTTCGATTGAAAAGCATTTATTTCTGCTATGGTAGCTTGAGTATTTTGTATTTGAACAAACTTCCTAATTATACTGACTTTGCACTGCCGACCCCATGCAAACAGCTCCTCTATAAGAGGTCATCAGAAACATAAACGACAGTATGGACTTGGGATCCATCACACAAAACAAGGCGATAGATTTTGCCAGATAACAGTATCAAGCACAAATCCCAAGTTGTGCATGGGTAGGTTCCCCAATTTATGACAGAGCGGGGGAACAGATTTGGACACAGCAGGTTAGGGCAGTCAGAAGCAATGAACAAGCGGTGATGATACTGAGGAGCTAGCATGAAGGCATCTTCCAAAGTATATTATACATATACACTTATACAGCAAGTCTTGCCAATTGCATTCATAGTAATGATAAAGTCCTACTAACAAAGACACAGATACTAAGTTTTAAGATATGCAAATAGTATATAACAGAAAAAAAATGATTTGGAGACACTGGCTTGAGATTTCCATTCCCATCTGCTAGAGGGATGAACAGGACACATTCCTGAGGAACTGGTAACAGGATGGGAAGAGAGCCCCCACACAAACTCCTCTCCTGAGTATATCTGTAATCCATTCCTCTGTGCTTAAAAACTGCATGGTTTTATAACTTGTTAATGAAGGGCCTTCCATTTACAACCTGTCTGTCCTTAAATAAAACTTTCATCATTTTACCTGTTGTTGTGCAATTAAAACTATTTCCTTCTGCCACTTCCCGCAGAGAGATGGAGAGCATCCATTTCCCGAACCCCTTTGCTATACCCAAAGCTGCTGTCCTCTCCTGGAGGCAGCAAGTCCAACTCTTTCAACTCACTCCAATTCTCCTTGTCCTTCCTCCAACCCATCTTGCTCAGCACGCAAAGCAGGAGCTCACAATCTATCAAAGGCCTTGCCAGTACAGGGTGGAATAATTACCAGGCCTTCTCCCGTCACGTCCTTCACATGATGTATCTATTAACATGTCTCGGTAAGATAATAATGAACCATATTCAATTTCAGCTCCTTTGATTCATTTCTGCAGCACAGACAATGCGTCAGTTACTCCCAATATTATGTTTGTGCTTTTGGATTCTCCTTTGGAAGTGCAACCCTTGGCGCCTCCCCGAATTCCACGCTGCAATGCAATTTTCTCTGAAGAGTTTTGACCACTGTGATCTCTCCAGACTGGGACCGTATCTATGTTCTGTAAATGGATTTCCTACTCTGTGACCGGTAGCTGATATCATCTATACATGAAATTTGTGCTTAGACAGTAATTTATTCAAGGCACTGTCTTGTATCTATTAACACAAGAATTATGGGGGCAAAAAATAGTAATTCTTTATATTCAAAATAATCAAAAATATATGCAATTCTCTTTTTTTTAAATGAGGTTTCAGAGTGTTCAAGAGGGTAAAAAGAAGAAAAGGTACAGGAGGAAATAAAGAGAAAAAAAGAGGACACACAGTGAGATCTTTGGTCATTTTTCCCTTGTTTTGGGGAAGCCCTCTGATTCTGGTATGGAACACATGCTACAACAGCGTTCTCCTAGGCAGCAGAAAGGTCAATAGTTCCCTTCAGGGATTCACACGAAGCATCAACAGCAGTCCTCCTGGACAGACTTTTCCTGAAGTATTAGTATTTAGAAATGCGCAGGTCAGAAGCCACCACTGCAAAAACCGCCAGAATTGCGCTCACGGCAAATGAGGCTGAAAAACTTGCTGTGGGACATATATCCTACATAAATCACACCAAAACTACCGAGCTTAAATAACCTTATATATACACACACACACACACACACACACATATATACACACACACATCTATACATATATATGTATATACACATACATATACGATACATATACTTTACATACAAACATGCTTATATACATATCTGTGTGTGTGTGTGTGTGTGTGTGTGTGTGTGTGTGTGTGTAGGTACACAGAATTGATCACTTAGCATATGATGAACAGGCCTCTGGGGCACCCTGCCCTGTTTGGGGGCACCCTCCACCCCGCGTGCTCGGGGCAGCACCTCAGTGGCACTCTGCGTTGTGTCCATGCGGCAGGGCTGGTGCACACGGCACGTGTGGACATGAGGCAGGACTGGCGCGCACGGACACAAGGCAGAGCTGGTGCACGTGGACACAAGCAGGGCTGGCGCACATGGACACAAGCAGGGCTTGTGCACACGGCGTGTGTGGACACGAGGCAGGGCTGGTGCACGTGGACATGAGGCAGGGCTGGCGCGCATGGACACAAGCATGGCTGGCACACGTGGACACGAGGCAAGGCTGGCGCACGTGGACA